GTCCTCGGTGCTCTCAGCTCATTTTAAGGGCAAGCAATATAGCATACATTTTTCATTATCTTGTTTGGGATTAAAAACATAGCCAGAGTATTAACAAAGACTACATACACCTTAATGTTGGAAACCCAAATTTAGGTATAAGGAGAGTAAGTTAACAGGATTTGGCTCTAACATAATTTAAAGCTTGAATTCGTTATAGAATTCATATAGCTAGAAAGGCTTGTAGAGGACATTAGAAAGGCAGGAAAGCTAGGGTCAGAATTCTGACCCCAGAACCCCTATTAGCCCTACTAGATATATAAATAATTAGCAATATAAGATATATAAATAAATAAATTAGTAAATAATTAAAGATATATAAATAAGTATATAAATAATTAGAGATAGAGATATATAAGTAAATAAATAAGTAAACAATATATTATAAGATAATAGTACTTCAATAAGCCTGGAATTGGAATGTTTTTTTCTTGCTTTAGCATCGACCCACTTTGCACCCTTTTTTTTATTAAGGTATTCTTCATGTTGGTGTCGGTGCTGTTCGTATATTATATGTTTGATAACTCCATCGACTACTAGAAACACTCTTTTGTTTATTGTTTTTGATACCAAAGGAATTACTGTATAATCTACAAAGGTTTGTTGCTGTTGATAGGTTTTATTAAGATCCAATAACTAGTCATTCGGAAGCTTCTTTAAAATAGTAACTATTTCATTCTAAATATATAAACAAATTAGTATCCAATATTTCTAATCAAATTAATTCTAAGAATATCAATATATTAATTTACCTGAAGTGCATTTCTTAAACTTTTATCCATATCCTCATATTTAAGATATACATTTGGCTCAGGGCTTGAGGATAGTTGAGATGAAAATGAAGAACTTGAATAATTCTTTGAATGCGAACGTTTTCATTTCGAACTGTGACTTTTAAAGGATTCTATAATAATAATAATTATTTAAATAATTTAGTTTTAAACTTGAAATTAAATTTTATAAAAATTACCAGTAATGAAACTTTTACCTCGTGAATGTTTTGATAAGGAAAGACCTTTTAAAAAACTTTGGAAATCTTCTGAATGTTTTAAATTTTTTAATGGAGAGATACTTTGGGAACCTCTAGAAGTACTTCGAGAATAATCTCTGGAAGCATTTCGGGAATGATCTCTGGAAGTACTTCGGGAATGATCTCTAGAAGCATTTCGGGAATGACCTTGACCTCTGGAAGTATTTCGGGAATGATCTCTAGAAGCATTTCAGGAATGACCTCTAGAAGCATTTCGAGAATGATCTCGACCTCTGGAAGTACTTTGGAAATAATCTCTAGAAGCATTTCGGAAATGATCTCTGGAAGCATTTCTGGAACGACCTCTAGAAGTATTTCGAAAATAATTTCTGAAAGTATTTTGGGAATGACCTAAGGAAATATTTCTATCTATTTGTTTGTTATTCTTTCTTGGAGTTTTCTCACTTTCCATTTCTTGCGAATTACTTTTGTCTTTTATATTCTTTGAGCCTTTTTTACTTTTCATTTCTTGCAAATTGCTTTTGCCTTTTATATTCCTTGAATCTTTTTCACTTTGACTACTAATCTTTTTTTAACCTTGCATATTTTTTTAACATTTTTTGGACTTCAGCCCATGAGAATTTTGGGCTCAGAGTGCTTGATTCATTATCAGAGTCATCAACCTTTTTGTGGGATTTTTTAGATCCGGATGTACTATATATCGATTGACCTCTTTAGAATAAAATGACATTAACAAAAATAACCTGATTAAGAACTAACATTTTTTTATTCGATTCATTGGAGGTAGTTTGTTCACTATATATTATTTAATGTTATTATGAAAATTTGTAAGTAGAAACTTTGAATAAAAGCTACTAACATTTTAATGGGAGATGTTATCCATCCCTCATCATCAGTATCGTAACCATCTTTTCCATATGGTAGTGATTTTTCACACATTAAAAAAGGAGTCTAGGCAAACGCTGTGCTAAAAAGTTAAAAAAGGATAGTTTTTAAATAAAGATGACTTTAGGTGAAAAATTTTGGCCTATTAAGTAACGATTTAAAAAGGTCATGAAAATAAAGAAATTACTTATTAGATGATAAATGATAAATGTAAAAAAAGAAAAAGTTCTTTAGAATGATCACAGATCTAAAATAGTTGAAAATTTCCTTTATATTAATATCTTATAGCTATCGTTAAGACCTGGAAATAATACTTGTGACAAACGTCACATAGTCGTAATTCATAGATTTTTGAATACTGTCATATTATTATTCAAAGGATGATGATCGAAAAGAAGTAATACATGCAGTATTTGATGCAATACGTAGCTACATTGTACGTAATAATTAAATAATTATATATTATATAATATTAATAAGAGTAAGTAAATAGCAGACTATATAGAAGACAATTTTAATTGTTGCGGGTTAAGTAGTAGCAAATTGCTACAACAAATCTACTCGATATAGTATCCTTCGCTATAACAGAAGGTATTACCAAACCTAATATTTATAATTGGTATATGCGTATGTAATTTTACTATTATGATTTTCTCAAAGAATGAAAGACTAATTTTCCTTATTTACTGACTCTATATATTTCTTTCAATTTACATCATTCATTCATCATACTCTCTTTTACTATACATCTACTCTAATATTGATAATTAATCTGTATTAATTATCTCATCATATTATACTAATAACAATTACGCCATATTAAGGACCTGACTTTGATTCGATCCCTTTTATTCCCACCATCATCATTCTTAATACTATCATGTGTATCACGTAAATTATTCACTTATCGTAGCCTTTTGCTTTACTAACCCCACTGTAAAATCCTAATTTCTTATACACTGATACAGATCATATGGTGTTCTCCAAGATGCATGACACAGTAACAATAGAATAAAATGTTATAAGGTTTAGGAGGTTCAGTTTAAAAAGCATAGTTGTGATTCTAACATATATTTATAGCTTCAGTGTTCGTCTAGCTTTTCTTTAGACTTAGATTTTTAGATAAATTCATTTCTCAATAAGTATTCTTTTAAATTTACTATTGTTTATTTGAGGTTTATTTAGTTTTCTTGGTTATCTTTTATTTATTCTTATTTATTTATCTGAATTATCTTTTTTTTGGTTTCTGTTTCATATCTTATTTTTCATATTTTAGGCAGTATCTATAATTTACATTAAGCCAGCGCTGTATTATATAGAAATAGGACCTTTATGATAATATTATTTTTGTATTATTGTCTTTAAGATTTTATAACAATACTGGTTTAACGTAAATTATAGATACTGCCTTAAAATTATTTAATAACTGTATTATTTTTATCTTGCATTTACTTAAAGCACATTGTGCATATATACTAATTAACCACTACATTATTGTTAATATCTATTTCCTGATTTATCTAACAATTACTCACCTGAAATTGTCTTATCATAAACTCTTAATGCATACCCATGTACCTTATATAATCCGTGTTATTGTTTGTATTAATGTTCTTACTGTTTACTATCAGTACTAATTTGGCCTTATAGTTCCTGCTCTTCCAAAATCAATAGTAACACTGTGATAAACAAATTGCATCGAGGCTATTTTTGAAGGATCTGATTTTCAAATTAATGTCCATAAGCATCATTTTATACTTATACGATATTTGATACATAATAACTGACTGAGATTTATAAATTAGGTTTAAAAATAAATCCTTATAATCTATTAAGATGACAAAACCAAAAACCAACCGTATTAACAAAGACCAGTTGAAAAATGCCACAATTAAACCCAGAACCAGAGATCTTGTTAAATGTAATTGTACATGGCATTGTGAAGGTGGTCATTGGGTAGATCCAAGGACTCGAGCTAAGCATCAAAAGGAGTTAGAAGCGTTTTGCATAACACTTCAAGACCTAAAAAAGTTGTTTGAGATAAAAGCAAATCTGTCAGGAGCTTACTAGAAAAACAAAAGTATAAAAGTGATTCAGTTGAACCAAATTTATCTGGTAATGATTTTTCTAATAGCTTTTTCAAAGATGATATAGTAGCTGATTTGAATAAAACAGAATTAGAGGAATAAGAACTAGATGAAGAGGTTTTAACAGATAATAGCCAAGAGTCAAGCGATTTTGATGATGATGATGATGATTTTGAAAGTACTTGAATCAATCTTTTTGTTTTATTTATTATAATTAAATTAATTTTTTTTTTGGTTTATTCAATATACTTGAATCAATCTTTTTGTTTTATTTATTATAATTGAATTGATTTTTTTTTTGGTTTATTCAATATACTTAAATTAACTTTTATTTTTTTATTCATTATACTCAAATCGATTCTCTATTACTGTTCTTGCTTTTTTCTTTTTAAAGATTATGAACAAACTGATCCAAACGTTGAATTAAATTTTCTTTGGATACTGTTATAGATATTCAAGTTTCAAGCAAGATTTCGTCTTCCCATTGTTGCAATTAGATCTCTTATTAAGTTTTTCTGGATGGTCTTACTAGATGCAAACTAGTCAAGATTTAAAGACTTTCCTGCCAGCTTGGATATGCCAAGAAAATTGTTGGGTATTAATACATATACAAAAGAATATAGTGTATGCCCTAGTTGTGACACTTTATATGAGGCTTCAAAAGTTACAAATAGGCAAGATAAAGGTTTTAAGTGCACCCATGTGGAATTTTCTAATCATCCGATGCATATCCAAAGACAGCCATGTGGTGCTGAATTAACTAAACAGGTCCCAGTTGTAAATGGTTACATCAGAAGGCCAAAGAAGATTTTTTCTTTATTATCTTTAAAATCGCTGTTAACCATCATGTACCAACATCTAGGATTTGAGTCTCTTCTAAAAAAATAGACCAACCGAAATATTAACATCGGGTTAATATCTGATATTTATGATGGTGAAATTTGGAAGAATTTTCTATTACAACTTGACACACCAAATTCCCAATTCTTCACACCAGAAACAGCAGATTCTCATTTGGGACTTATTATTAATCTTGACTGGTTCCAACCATTTGAGACAACAGTATATAGCAGTGGTGTAATATATGGTACAATATGCAACCTTCCCTGAGAAGAGAGATTCAAATGTGAAAATATGTTATATCTTGGACTTTTACCAGGACCTACAGAACCAAGTTACATAAAATAAACAATTATCTTGCACCAATAGTGGATGAATTGCTAGAACTCTAGAAAGAAGTTAAACTATCTATTGGAAAAAAAATAAGATTAGCAGTTATTTGCTGCTCCTGTGATATTCCAGCTGCCAGAAAGCTTTGTGGCTATATATCAGTATTAGTTAGTTGCTATCGGTGTTACAAAAGGTATTACAATATATAATTTATAAAATTTGATGCAATTTACGTGTACCAAAAAAATCAAGGAGAATTTACAAATAAAGGTTAAAAAGTAAAAATAATTCCAAATACAGGCCTGAATTAAAAATAATTATGCATAATGTGGTAGCTCTTTCTAACCACTTATTGGAGATATGTGAAATGGATAGAATTATTGGATCTCTTTTTACTTTAATGTTTGTATATTTTTAAAAAATATTTTTTGTATTTACTAAAAGTATTTTTGTGTTTACTTGAACATTTTTAACTTATTTTATATACAAATAAATAACTTTTTTATTGTATTATAAGTGAAAGTAAGTAGACCTTTTGTATTTAATTTTTTCTTATTTTTTTAAAAGAATATAAAAGAGAAGTTAAGTTTTTCTCTAATTTTTGATTTTTTATATACATATTTTAACTTTTAAATTAATTGCATTATAATTGATTCTACGACACTTAACTCAATTCTTAATTACATTATAAATCAATCATATCATATTTCTCTTATTATATGGATGATTAATTACTCATGATCTGATCAAAAATACACATGCCCATGATAAAATATTTTGAGTGCAAAATTATTTATTACATTTGAATAGTATCACACAGTGTTGTCACTGGAAGGCTGAAACCCCACTAGATGTCCAGATTCTTCCAGCATTCTAGTGGTTCTAGTGAGAAATCCCACTGGAATGATTTTCTTACTGGAACATATTCATATGATTGGCTAATCTAAATGAGACTATTTGCTAATCAAATTAGTTGGTAACTAATTATGTTCCCAAGCTTATGACTATATTTTTCAACTCGTCTTTTGATACTAATTCAAAACACTATAAAAAAAAAGATTCTTATATCCGATTTCACAATAATTCTTAAATTCGTTAGCAAAGTCTAACATTATTGTACAATCTATGCCGGATTATCCAAATTACTTTGTTTATTAGAAATGATCCTGTTTGTGACCTGGTAATATTCATGTAAACAGGGGTCCGTATTATTTCACCAACAATCATTTTATAGACATCATATTTCACTGACAATTATTCATTGACAAGTTTATTTTACTGACAGTCTATTTCACCGAAGCTTGACAAGTTTTTTTTTATAAATTACACTAACTTCAACTCTAATTCTAATGTAACCCTAATGATATTGACCAGAATTACATTGTCTGAAAAATGGGCTTTGGTGAAATAAACTGTTGGTGAAATGTGGTGTCTATGAAGCCAGTGAGTTGATCATATCCCAACGGGTAGATACCCAGAGCTCAAATTTATGTCGCTTTAATATCTGCTTGCTAACTTCAGCGATTTATTCGAATTGGCCAATTAGAAGCCACTGGAAGTTACTGGACATCACTGGAACTTCCATTCAAGCGATAAAAAATCTTCACTGGAATGGTCTAGTAACATTTGATCACTGGAAGCTATTATGCTTCCAGTTAAGTCCAGTGATCTTCCAGTTCTAGTAAACAACACTGGTATCACAGTTACTTTGGGCTCTTATATATAATATTTTTTAAAATTTAAACCCTTATATAAGATATAATTATTTTTAACTTGAGCTATATTTTGAAATTATTTTTACTTTCCAGGCTTTTATTTGTAAATTCTCCAAAAATCAAACTTTGGGTTTTTAAATTTATAACTTATCAATTTATATAATTTGTCAAATTTCTTAACTCTAACAATAGAAGAAAATCTAATTTCGGTGGTTTTAATAATATATCTGATTGGTTTAGAGAACATGATTCTGAAGAGCATCAACAAAATGCTAATAAATGGTGCCAATGTAAATCTAATAATGAAAGGAAACGACATGTTTCTACTACTTGTGTTAGATGGTCAGAGATATTATGTTTACCTTATTTTAACCCAATAAGACATCTAGTTGTTGATCCTATGCATTGTTTGTTCCTTGGAATAACACAGTGGTTTATAAAAAGGTTATTGATTGGAAAAGGAAAAATCACAAAACATGATCTTATATCAATGGAGTGTCATGCCAAAGATATAAAAATACCCACTGATTTAGGCCAAAATCCAAGTAAGATTGCTACTGAAGATGGGTTTTCAGGGTTCACAGCTGATCAGTGAAAAATATTTTTGTTGATATATACAATTCCATTGATGTAAAACAAACTAGATGATGCTGATTAAGAGATTTTGAATAATCTTGTAAGGGCATGCTCTCTGCTTGTATGTCGAATTATTGATGATAAAATATTAACTGAAGCATACATACAACTACTTATGGTAGCTTTACTAATAGAAAAACATTATGGTTCTGAAGTTATAACACCAAATATCCATTTATCACTTCATATTACAGAATGCTGTCGTGATTATGAGCCATTGAATTCCTTTTGGTGCTTCTCATTTGAAAGAATGAATGGTATATTAGGTAAATTTTTTTAGTAGAAATGGCAAAAACCATGATTTAAATTAATTTTTGTTATTATGATTTAAAGCACTTAATTTTTATTATGTAATATATTATATTTAATTAAACATTGATCTTTGAATGCAATTTTTTAAAAAACTATTGCAATTGCAATTTAAAAATATATTTATATTTTCTAAATATATTACATAATAAAAGATTTAAATTAGCTTTAAATTGATTTAAATAAAAAATCAGTAATTTATAACATTGTGGTTTAATCATATGCCATTTCTAACTTTTAATTAAAATTTTAATACCATATTTTGTAGAGTAAAATACCTGGGTACTATACTAAGGAGAATACTATAATGGAAGTGTATATATTATTACAGAGATACATACTATATATTGATCATACTATAGTACACAGATTTTTTACTCTGATATTATTAAATTTTGTTATATATACTTATTTTTTTTAAATACAATAAATTTTTTGTTATTTAAGGCTTCTTTCCCAACAGCAAGAGAATGATTGAATTAGATCTTTTACAAATTATTCTGCAAAATTGGAGATTAGATAGTCTGATCTTTGATTAACTAAATAATTCTAAACTGTTTAAGGCTCTTGAATTTATAAAACCTTGACCAACAACTGGAAGCTTAGTAGTAAATAATAAATTCGATTTTGCTAATTTATATCAATTTGTACAAACTTTTCATCAAGATATTGATAACACTATTATGGGTAGTGAACCTTTTCCTAAAGAAATGCTTAACCCAAAACAAACTTATATATCTCTATCAGATAATATCTATGAGCTACTAACAGAGTATTACAGAATAGCATATGATAGGAATTTTGCAACAATTGCTGAAGCAGTTTCTGGCAAAGAGAAGTTTGATAATACTATTATTGTCTCTCCAATTGTAAATCAATATGCACAAATTCGGATTGATAGTGAATTTTTTGGAACAACAATGACCCCAAATATAAAAAAAGTTCATATATATTAGCAAAATTTATACAAGATGATAGTACTGATATTTTTCCTGGAAATGTTCAATTTTTTTTTAAACATACAATCACATTGTCAAATATTGCAGTAACACATAAACTTGCTTTTGTTAAGTGGTATTTGCCAGCTTCTGACCAGCAAACAAGATTTTATTTTAAAGATGAAACTGAAGAATGTAATGTTGAACTTTGGAAATATGATTGCTATAAACTTAGTAGAGATAGCATTATTCCAATTCACAATATTTATAGCCAGTTTATACCTAGTAAATTTATGATTGGCATACGCAAACCAAGTTATATATGGCTGTCATA